ATAAGTTGCAATGTCATCTCTTTTTCATTCTTCAAACCCTCATTATTGGCTAGATATGTTTCCAGGCCTACATTAAAGACATATTCCCAATGCCATATACTTTTATTATTGAGAGATACTTCTTCATTGAGTTATCAAAGGAGAAGGCATGTATTGTGGTTTTATAATTTTAGAAATAGAAGGAGCCTAGAGCTCATCAAGAGAGTCAAAGTAGCATCCTGGTTAGCAACATTGGCTCTGCAGCCAGATGGAATGGGTTTCAGTTCTATCTCTGCTACTTAGTACCTGTGTGAAATTGGGCAAGGTATTTAATCTAGCTGTGCTCAGTTTTCTCATCTGTAAAGTGGGGTTGGTAATCGTACCTATACCATAAGGTTAACATTAAACAAGTGTGTGTGTACATATGTAAGTTTTATAACAGTACTCATCACATATTAAACAACCACCAAATATTAACTATGATTATTATCTACTTCAACTCTTAGCTCATACATGAGCCCATGCCACTCAGTTCAAATGAAATCATTTCAGTAGGCAGATCTCTCCAGATCATGCAGAACTGTAGATGGACAGTTACATTGAGGAGAATCATCTTTAGAGAATTCCTTTGGCATAGTTGTCATCACTGCACTCATGATTCGTATGTGGTGGTTCCATATCTGTTTCAGGGTCATCAAATATTTTACACCAGGTACATGAGCAGAGAATCAATGGAGTTAGGGTAACAAGAGTTTATAAGAAGAACAGAAGAAACTGTTTTATTCATTGGTACTCCTCCACGAAGTATATTACAGCAGCTAAAAAAGCGAAAAGGAAAGATTGCATTGACTGACATGAAGCAAATTTTTATTCTCACTGAAATTTGTATTTTCTTTGTTGAAATAATAGGGATAGTGTACATATATGTTTTTCTTTATTTTGTAATCCATTCCAGTTAGCAATTATTTAAGAGTCAATCAGTAGGGACCATATTCAATTAAATATTCAACAGAGTGCATTGGTTGTTGTGTTTCAAAAAAGGCTAAATTTTTGAATGCCATAATTTTTAAAAATGTAAATTTCTTTCTAGAAAAAAATAAGAATACACTAGATTCTTTAAATCTTACTATGAAATATAAATAACAAAGAAAAATGGTACATATTTTATTTTCCTTAGAGTTATATCATCTTTCCAAATCTTTTTCTTTGCTTTATGTTTCTTTTCATAAGTACACCTGCTACTCCTAAAAGAGAAGGTATTATTTTATTTTGGTTTTGGTAAAACAAAAAATAATTACATAAAAATGAAAATAAGCTACCTATATTATATCTACTTGCTCTTGCTTGCCATTGTTGCTCTATGCATTTAACGTTCTCCTAAAGTAATATATTTTTTTATAAAGTAATGAATCATATGAGTTATTTTTTGTTAACCAATGTAGTCTTTTCAGTTGAATTCCACATAGTAAAACCAATAAACACCTTCTGGTTTAGAATAGCAACATTTTGAACGTGTTTTATACAATAGCAATTAACACTTCCAATTCCCAAACATTAAAATAATATTAGTATGTGTTTTTGTTTCACCAGTATATAATTTATCTAACTTGCCCCAATACACAGTTTTACATTGGTTGCTTTTTAAAGACTAGAATAAAAACTTGATTATATGTGCTGTATTTAAATAAAAAAAAATCTATGGAAGACTTAAAAAGTAAAAGATATACATTCTGATATGGAGTAAGCTGACCATTTGTCACCCATTCCCTTTTATAGACTACAACAATAAGCTATCCTGAAAAGAATGTAATTTATACCAGGCTAAACATAAAAAAGTACTGCCAAACATAGCAAAACACAGACAATTTAAAATATGTACTTTTTTGCATTTTGCATCTATGCTTGAATAATTATGCCACAAGGTAAAAAGTGTTTGTGATTCTCTTTAACAGTGTAATTACATGGACTGTCTATTTTTTCTTTCTTTTTTCTTTTTCTTTTTTTTTTTTTTTTTTTCTAGACAGAGTCTTGCTGTGTTGCCAGGCTGGAGTGCAGTGGCGTGATCTTGGCTCACTGCAACCTCCGCCTCCCAGGTTAAAGCAATTCCCCTGCCTCAGCCTCTCAAGTAGCTGGGGCTACAGGCATGCCCGGCTAATTTTTTTTACTTTAGTAGAGACAGGGTTTCACCATGTTGGCCAGGATAATCTCAGTCTCCTGACCTCGTGATCCGTCCACCTCGGCCTCCCAAAGTGCTGGGATTACAGTCATGAACCACTGTGCCCAGCCTACTGTCTATTTCTTTTAGGTAACTTAGAATCCAAACAATAACAGAATGAAAGCAAAGATAAGCCATTACTTTCAGTACCCATACCTTCTAACATAGAAATGCATTGGTCAGTGTTTCCTTCCTTTTGCCTTACCTTGACATTCTTCAGCTTGCAGCAACCTGTTGTTGTTCTGTGCACTTACTTTGTTACTAATTAAGGAAGAGAAGGTTAACAGGATGCTTCTATCATCCTGTCTAGAAGTCTAGGTATAGGCTTGGTATATTTTTCAGTTTTAAAGAGCTTCCTAAATGCACTAGGTACTCAAACTTTCCCTCCAGGAATGTCTGTGGGATCCACCATATTGCTTTTCCTATTGCTTACACTGTAGAGGCCAACAGTTTTATTAATTTTGATGGTTCATTTGTCATGCTTCTTTATCATCCATCTCTGGGAAAACAACTTCAATCCTTTGGAATCGAGTTAAAGCACTACAGTTTTTAGGAAAGCATGTCTGACCCTCTTTTAATCACCCCTGACTCCCCTGAACTCTTCTGAACCCTTTTAGCAACATTTGTGTCACCCATTTTACAAAATCATATGTAACATCTTTTGCAATTTTATATGTCTATATATAGTCTCCCTAAGGCCTTATATTCGCCAGGGTACCTCCCATGCCTGCCCTTAATGGATGCTTAGTGATACTAGAATCCTTGCCTTTGACTGATGTTTGCATCTCTCATTGTGGAATTTGTTCTTGCAAGCTGTGCCTCATAAAATATGACACTTTGCTTAAAATATGGCAGGTTGGCCAATATTATATGCTGAGATTCAAAGGGATTCAACTTAAACCAATCTCCCAAAAACATCATTGTCTTTGATTGCCCTTCAGAAAAAGAATTTAGTGTTTCATCATGTGTAAATTTGAACATCCAAAAGTAGGCTTCTTGAAAAAGCCATGTGTGTTCATCACATGGCAGAATTGGACTGTTACACTAAAGTGAGAGTGCAGCAATATTTGTCAACGAATGTAACAAATATTGTCTCAGTAACCAAGATGTAATGCCATAATGGAGAGGATGCAGAAAAATCTAATACAAGTGGTCTCTGCAAAGCAATGAATCAAGAACATGCAATGCTACATTCTTAGATGTGTTCCTCTGTGTATTTCTTGCCCTTCTAAACAAGCTGCTTTTGTTCTGGTGAAGATCTTCCATGGTATGCAAGAAATGCTTGACTATTGAATTTACTCTAATGTTTTAATATAACATTTCTCAGAAAATTATTTGCATTTCAAAAGGGAGAATTTAGTCCAAGCAACAAACAACTAAAGGTAGGTGTTGTTTTATCCATTGTAATCTGTAAGAGAAAGAGGAATACTCATTGACCATAACTATGAGCATTAAAACTAAATTTTGTAGGTAATTACCTACTCTGCTTTCAGGTGATGGAAACCCACATAAGGGCTCCCTACTTGATTTAATTTTATCTCCTATGATGCAAACTTCCATTGTCCTTCCCTTGAATTACTCAGTCACTTCCAGTATATCTCCCTGCTTCTATTCTTGCCTTTCTCCACCCGATCTTTTTTAAAAAGTTAGATCATTAAAAAAAAAAAACTAGATCCCAGTTTTAATTAAGCTAAGCACTACCTCCCCACAGCAAGAAAGCGTGATGTTTCCACTGTGCTTACAATAAAATCCAAATTTTTTATGCCCTATGAGCAATTTCATGATCTGACCCCTGCCTTTCTGACATTGTCTTACTAACCCCTTTATTTAACTCCATTGGCTTTTTCCCTGTCTTTTGTCAAACGCAAATCATTCCACCTTTGGTCCTTTACACTTGCTCTTTTGGGTGCCTGGAAATGTCAACCCAAATGTTACTTCTTTGGAGAAATCTTAGTGTCTGAATCTAGACTTCCCACCCCCGATCCAGTCACTTCCCCATATCACTCCCTTTTGCTGTCTCCATTGCAGATAGAAATATCTAAAATATGCTTAGTGTTTACTTTTGGCTTCCCCTCTTTAGATAGAATCTCCTTGATCTGTTCTGTCATGAGAACCTAGAGCAGCACCTAGGCACTTAGTGTATATTGGCTGAATGAAACATGACTAAGAGCAAAAGCAACACATCTTCTCAGTGCTCAGTGACATAATTCACAAAGAGAAGAACAAGGGTCTGAATTTAAAACAAGGACAAAGAGAGGAAAAATTAATTTATCCTGGGGAGGTAGAGACTGCTGACATTCTTTCAAAATTCAGGAACTTCTGTTAGTGTTTGTCCCCTACTCATTGAAGCAGAAAATGTCAATGAAAAAATCTGAGCAATAGGATAATTAAGTAAGTAAAGTAGAACAAATTGAATATTAAATGTTAAGATAACTTCAGTTTTTATTATTCAATGTAAAAGAAATAACGCCTGAGTATAATAGGTGATTCCTTTTACTTTAAAAAATTTAAATGTGTTATGAATAAGCATGTACCTATTATTTTAATTAAATACAAATTAGCTATAATGTGCATCAGTGTATCATAAAATTTAACCTCCATCTAGGAATAACCCACCTTCAAATATGCACAGTTGATGGAGACTTGACAAGTGAATTGGTAACCTTTAGTATTAAATTATCACTTGCCCTGTATTTCCCTGCCTTTATTGAATTTATATTTCTTGTGCCCCAATAAGACAGCTGAGTCTCTGACTGCATTTCTTCCTCTTTGTCCTAGACAAGTCGCTATTGTTTTTCCCTCACAGATATGTCACCCCTGTCTATTTGCCTGTGACTAAACCCATGTAACCTGATTGGCCTCCTAAAACCCTTTCATCTAATCTACTCATCGAGATTCTTGTTCTCCTTCAAATGAATCCCCAGTTTAATCTTCAGATGGGCTGAGTAATCAATGGTTCAGGTAAAGACTATTTCCTTTTCATCTTGATCTTATGTATGAGGATTTTTCAGCTGCTGAATTCAAGATGGCCAGAAAAGTACTTTATTTTGGTGCCACATTTTCCTCCTTTGCTTAATTTAGAAATAATTTCACTCCTGCAAATAGATCTTGCATATTTGTGAGCGTGAGCAGGTTAAGTGGTCACCTGTTATCTCTATGAAGTCCATTGAACTTTTGAGAAAATAGAATTCTTTCATGAAGCACGGAACACACAACTTTCAACATCCTAAAAAATGTGTAGTGTAAGTGAAGGTATTTCCATTGCATATTTTACCCTTGCTTTAAAAGGAGTTTATGTGTTTATCAGTTGGGAAAGATTCTAAATTTAATGAATGCAAAAGCATTGTTCAAGTTTGTCATAAAAATGACAACTCCATTGACCTTTCCATATTCTGTCACAAGTGGGAGTGATAGATTGACAGATGGTCCTGCACTGAATACTGCGAAAAACAATACCAGGACTCTTTGTGTGTATTTACAATACAGAGAATTGAGTTGCTTAAGAAACATTCAAAACAGTCCTAGAAAATAAAGGCTTTAAACTTTTCATCTGAAACTATTTTTAAAGGGAAAAAAATGAGTCATTGATATGATCTGAATGCAGTATTATTCTAGAATCAACTCATATGGATTATTTTCTCAATACAAAAAGAGTAACCAATCACACATCACTGTTTGTCTCAAGTATTGCTTTACTGTAATGCTAATCAAAATGGTAGGAATGATTTCTGTGTTTTACAATGCTTCATCAAAAGAGCACTTTATAAAATAATGAGCTGTAGAATGCACATCATCCCTTCAAGAAGGTAAATAAAACTAACATTTACTATTGTTTTTATTGTTGTTACCAATCATTAGTATTGTTATTCTTAACAATGATTATTATGGTTGCTTTTATTTTACCTTTCAGAAAGAAATATTCAAAAGGAGCCATACAACAGAAAGTGGTGTACATCAGAATCTTTAAGAGCTTTTATTAGGATGCTCTCATGGATGATGGTGGGAGAGGTAGTAGAAAAGAAAGAGGAAAGGCAGAGAGGTATAGAAGGAGAGAGGGAAAAACAGAGGCTACCAGTTAGAGAAACATATCGCATGTTTTGAAAAAGAAGAGAGATCATTTTAAGCTTATGGGTAAAAGGCACAAGTAAGATACAATTTTAACATCTTTTCCTTCTATAACCATTGTCTAGTCTAGAATAAAGCCTGAAAGTCTAAAGTTTGTCATGTCTAGCAAAAAAAAAAAAAAAAAAGGACTTTGACTGGCACGAAGACATTATGTGCTACTACCATTCTATGTAAATGTTAAGTTCCTAAAAATTGTATTAGTGATAGGTTCCAAACTACTTCAATTATCAGCCTAATGAGATACCACTCTTTCCATGTATCAGTCCTAAAATTTCAGTATTATTTTTTATACAACCTAGATTTTTAAAGAAGAGCATGAGGTTTCAAACAAGAATAGAAAAGGATGGTGCGTAATGTGATAGACAAGAAACAGGAGAAATAAAAGTAATGCCCGGGGAGAGAAGACTCAGGAGGCCAGACACATTTCAGCATGATGAAAGAGTGCTCTGAAGAACCGTAGGCCACTTGAGAGTTAGTATTCATTGAAAAGACAGTGCCTCCAAGAAGAGAACCATAGTTAGGTTTTATCTATTTCATGTTTTTATCAAGCATGGAAGGGTTCTGCAGTACGGGAAGAAAGCCTATGGGAGAATGAGGCAGAGTTCATAAATCAATCCCCTTATTTTACATAATATTCACACATACATAGCTGCCTCTCTCTCCAGAAGTTTGTAGATGGCCCCATTTCCCTTGAACTTACAAACAAGAACAATGTAAATGCCAGAAATGGTATTCTTTACATACAATAGCATATTCAGCAAATGTTTGTTAAATATCTGAATACCTACTCACTGCCAGACACTGAAGATAGAAAGATGACTATAATGTCACAGTATGTAAAATCTAAGACTGAGAAGTAAGGCAACATTAACAACTCAGTGTGGGACAGGAGAGCTGCGTGCAGGTCACCACAGGAGCACAGGAAAGTCATGCAACTCACACTAGGAAACCATGGAAGATTTCCTGGAGAAGACACTGCATGAGCTGATGCTTGAAGAATTGGTAAAAGTTCTTTTGGTAGAGAAAAGGAGATTAGAATGTCTAGACAGCAAGAACAGGATGCACAAGGACATTGAAGTGGAAACAGCATGATGCAGTCAGAAAATACAAGTCTCTGTGTGTATTTTATATGGGGGAGTGCCAGGAGTTGAGACAAGGGCCATTGGCTATGAGGCTGAATTAAGAAAGCATTTTTAAGCTAATGAGGAAGTCTGACCTTTATCCTAAAGATGTGGAAATTTGCTGAAATAATTTAAAATAAATTTTGAGTTATAATTTATGTACAATAAAGTACATTCATTTAAAAAGTATAATTGAGTTTTGACAGGCAAATAAAGCTGTATAAACATCACTATAATGAGTATCAGAACATTCCTATCACTCTCTCAAATTTCTTCATGATCTCTTTGTAATCTATTCCCCTGTCCCAATCCAGCCCCAGGTAACCAATAGTTTATTCTTGTCTCTGTAGATTAGTGTTGTCTGTATGTGTCAAACAAGTGGTTTCCCAGTTTGATGCTAATACAAATAGAGTTACCATAAACATTTAGGAATAAGTTTTGTGTAGACATATGTTTTCATTTCTCTTGGGAAAATACCTAGGGATGGAATCATTTGGCCCATATGTCAGATGCATGTTTAATATTTCAAGAGATTACAAGTTTTCCAAGGTGGTTATATGATTTCATATTTGCATCAGCCATGTATGATTGTTCCAATTGCTCTGCAACATCAACAACAATTGGTATTATCAGTTTTCTAATAGGTGTGTAGTGGTATCTCTTTGTGCTTTTAATTAGCATTTCCCTGATGACTAATGATGTTGAGCATCTCTTCATGTATTTTTTGTTTATTCATACAAGTGCAGCTTTTTTGGTGGGTTGTCATTTTAAATATTGTGTCTGATTTTTCATGGGTAAGGAAGTGTTTGTTATTGATATAGGAGTTTTGCATATATGCTGGATATAAGATCTTTGTCAGATATATTATTGTGAATATTTTCTCCCATTCTGCATCTCAAGTTTTCATTTTCTTATCTTTGAAAGAATGAAAGTTTAAATTTAATAACATCCAGTTTATTCTATTTTTTATTCTATGATTCATGTTTTTGTTCCCTAAGAATATTAAACCATGGAAGAGTTAATGTAACCTGGGACAAAAGACTAAATGTGCATTTTTTTGTCCCGTGTACATGTGAACTGCATATCCTCCTCTTTCATCATTGGAATAGAAAATAATGAATACCATAAACCTTTAGTCATGTTAATTTTCTCCAGCAATAGATACCATGTCTAACATAGCAGGCATGATCAGAACCACTTGGATAAGTTTGTATTGAAGTCTACAGTCAATCTCCAGAATCCACCTGGTTTCTGCAGGAGCCAAAGCAGTTATTTAAATTGGACCTACAATAGGTAATACAATCTGCTATGTTTTCTTTTGAAAAATGAATAAAACTTTATTTTAACACCTAATGGAAAACTTCAATTGATGGAAAAACATTGCGTTCCTGGATAGAATGACTAGAAATATAATATCATAGTTAATTAGATGGACTACGGAGGCAAACACCTGTTTGAATCCCAGCTCTCCTGCTGATTAACTTCTTGAAGTTGAACCAGGATTCATGGAAATACAGGAACACATAGCATGCCATCAGGCCTCACAAAGGCAGAAGGAAGATTTTTTAGGATCCAATACAACTGTGGCCACCAGATCATCCAGAGCAGTGTTTCCCAAACTTTAAGGTGAGATTCAACTAGAAATCTTGTGAAAATGTAGATTCTGAGTCATTAAGTCTGAGAATTGACCTAAGATTCTTCATTCCCCACAATCTCATGGTGATGCCAATGCAGCTGGTCTATAGACCACACTTTGAGTAGACAGGATCTAAGTTTCTTCAGCTGAGAGGTTACTGATCCCTCTTCTGGTGCTCTGCTGACATTGTGATTCTTTCTCTATGCGTCAGTAGTTTCTATCCCATTTCCAATTACTACAAATTCCACAAGAAAACAATGATTGTATTGATTTATCTCAGGGCAGTAGGAATATAAGCATATTTTAGAACGCCCTTTTATACCTTGGAGTTGTTCAACAATGAGCTAGCATTACTCACATAATCAAAAAAAAAATATTTTCTGCTATTTGGGACTAATAACATTGTTACTTTGGCTGCCTTAAATGCAATCCTGGCCAAACAGAAACCCTTCAGGGACCCACAGAACTGGAGAGAAAATACAGACTTGAGAAGCAAAGAATAAAACACAGAGTAGTAAAGAATACATCCTGTGAACACAGCCAACATCTTTGGAAAGAATTACTGGATTCTAAGTGGCCAACAAATTGCATTCTAACAAGAAGAGCCTTGCTCAACTGGACTGAGGATACTTCTAATATTCTTGTATGTCAGTGAGTCCAAATCTGTAGTGCAGCTATGTGAGCTAACTGGAAGAGCTAGGGAAAGCTTTGTCACTCATGTTCCTCTAGTCTGCAACTGTGTTCTTTAAACAAACTTGCAGTGTCTCCTCTTCCTGCCAGGCATGGTTCATTGTCATCTGAACACACTTAAAAGGAGAAAGAGAGGTTTCCCTTAGCTAGAACTAGCCTCATGGGTAACTAAAAGGCCTAATAAAATATTTCTGCATATTTGCACTAATTATCAGCACACGGTTTAATCAGCCCAAGATGGTATATTTTGCCGAGCTTTTCTATTGTGCCCTAACGTAACTTTGTAAGAGGAACAAGTGGCAAACACAATGTAGTGTGGGTTTAAACCAACATACAGCCCTCTCCTTCTGTGCAGAGCTCCAGGGTTTGACTGAACACTGCTTCATCAAATGGTCCAAAGACCTTACTGGGCCTCTCAGTAGTTCTGAGCTGAAGGATGATTCCACTTTCACTGGATTTCTGCCTTTGTAGCAGTAAAAGAAAGGATGTTTCTCAGTCTTCCCCTTCGCATGTCATTAACCTATATAGCAGCTGCCTGAGAGGCATTAGGTATGATGGGGCTCTTTCTGGATTTATCGGCTGGGAAATTAGCTGATCCTGCCTCATATTGACTCTCACCTGCCACCTCTCAGTTGACCTCAGCTGCAAATTGCACTTGTTTGGAGATTAACCCTAAAATTACCTGCCCATGTTTCAGTGGGAAGGACAAGCCTCGATTCTATCCCTTAATAGAGTTCTGCCAGCCCAATCCTGTTTTCTTGGTGGGAATTCTCAAGACTCACATATGCTACTATTAGCATTTTATGAGCTCTGAAGGTTTCAGACAGATAGGGCAACATATTTCATCAATTCAGCAAGGAAGGGTTTATAATGTATGGTATACGCATTATCACATTGTGTCACCTGAGCCAACTGATAAGCATAGATATTCATAGTTTATCTACATAAATAGTTTTTGGTACTGATTTGTTTTGCTAGCATTCCGACTTTATCTCTGAAAACATTCAAACACTATCTGTACCTCTTTGATGTAATAAAGACTTTCCATGGTGGTTTGAGGATGTTTACTTCCTTTTTCAATGCATTGTCACCATGGTTCAAAAAATCAGAATTTTGAAAAGGAGGAAAATCTGTGTGACTAGGAAAAATAGAGAAAAAAGACATCCACTGGTGGAACAACAGAAGACTGTATGCAGAATAATAGAAATGTCTAATGGGCAATTTTTTAAATGTTCACTGAAGGTATATGATATAAACTTCTTTTGCTATCTCTTC